TTCTTTCTTTCTTTCTTTCTTTCTTTCTTTCTTTCTTTCTTTCTTTCTTTCCTCTCTCCAGAACGCCATGGATGTGATTGGCATCACAGGCCAAGATAAGCAACTTGTCCTACAGATTATAGCTGGTATTCTCCATCTAGGGAACATCAGTTTTGAGGAGAAAGGGAACTACGCTCAAGTAGAAAATTCAGATTGTGAGTATCTACCAATTAATAGGGATAAATTCATTAATCTGTGAATGTTAGTTCTCACATGGTTGATGGTAATATGGAGAGCCATAAAGATGAGCTTGAAGAAACTATGTGGTGATAGTTACAAAAACATGTTTTAAGACCGGGAAAAGAAGAAAACTTTAGAAAGAAACTCAAACTGGCTCTGCCTTAACTTCCTGGGATATAAGAGGAAAGGAAGAGAGAACACAGTCAAGCTTTTTGATTATGTTATTAGAGCCTTTATCAATAAAGTAGAGTTCTAACATTTCTCATGATGTCTGTTTCTTGATTTGGCCTGCCTTGAAGGGCTGACAGGTAAACAACTTGATAGTATATAGTATATGTAGTATATCAGGCCATTACCAAAGCAGATATTTCTCACACCAAAGAGAACTTCTTCTAGCCCTTCATGTGGAGTGAGTGGAAGAAAATGACAGAAGGAACCTGCACACTGATTATTATAAATAGAACTCACTTTTATACTTAGCACTTGCTGGAATTCTTTGGTGATAGCTTCTTAGCTTTTCTACGATAAATTATTCACTAGAAGTCCTGGATTTCTCTGCTCCTAAATTACAGTAGTTTCAACCCAGTTCATCAATGAGAGCCACACGTAATTGAGTAATTAAAATAGGATCCATTGGAGTTGGTCAGCTAATAAATTTAAATAAATAAATACAAATAAAATAGCAAGGGGTTAGAATTGTGCCAGAGCAAAATACAAACACTAAGATTTTGAAGAGAATGAAATCCACCATTTAGTTCTCCAGGAAAGGTGCTTATATAAGGTACAAATCATGGCCATAAATTTTAAGACATTTCCAGTTGAACAAATTTCTTGATTTATTAGATTTTGATTTCACCCTTTCTCTAAAGAACCCAAGACAAGATATATGGTTTTCTTTTCTCCCGTTTTCCATCTGCAGAAGAATCCTGCAAAATAGAAATACAGAAATAGAAACAGTTCAGTCTCCCAAAGTGAGTTTCTGACCTTGCAAATGGTGGTCAGCCTAGGCAACAGATCCTGTATATCTCCATCAACATAATCTTCCTTACTCCCGACATGCCTCCCTGATTCAGAGGCAGTGGAACATGAGCAAATGTTATATATGAAGATACCCCATCCTGTTACCCAGAGATGCCAAAGGAGTCTTTTTCCATTTTCCCCACTCCAGTGCTAGCTTTCCCTGCCTACCTTTTGGGAATTGACAAGGACCGCTTAGATGAGAAGCTCACCAGTCGGAAAATGGACAGCAAATGGGGTGGCCGGTCAGAGTCCATTAATGTAACTCTCAATGTAGAGCAAGCTTCCTATACTCGTGATGCCCTTGCCAAAGGCCTTTATGCCCGTGTCTTTGACTTCCTAGTTGAGGTAAGCAACCTTGTTCTGTGCTGTGGGGAGTTTTGGGATGGGGTGGGAAACAGATTGATGACTATTTTGTTCATTCCATTTCTTTCTTTAACAACTGAGAGGGATGGACTTCCTGCAGTGGGTTGAACAAGATAGTGTCCAGTTTATCACTTCCAACTCTATGGTTTTTTGAGCACCAAATCAAAAAGATGGACTTACTACAATCCAACCCAGATGAGAAGGACAAATTCTCAGATGGGAAGAATAGTGGCCTATTTAACACTCCAAATTCTTCACTCTTTGAATGCTAGAAATTGAGAGAAATATGGCTTTTTGCTTTGTTTTGTTTGAGAAAGAGCTAGATGGTAATATTTTTTATCACTGAATACCAACATTAGAGTTATATGGCCTCTGGTAATAAAATTCTGAATTTTCTGTGGCTAGTAATTCCTTCCTCTTCACTTCCAGTCCATCAACAGAGCCATGCAGAAACCATACGAAGAGTACAGTGTTGGAGTCCTAGACATCTACGGGTTTGAAATATTCCAGGTAGGCCTGTGTTTTAGATAAACCAGTGATCTCAGCTTCTGAGAAAATTCTGAACTCAAAAATGTTCCCATACCATAAAGACACCATTGTCCAGTTGGTCATTATATTTGACTTAGTTTAGTAAACAAAACTAAAAGACAAAAATATTCATCCTTAAATTAATATCCAAAGAGCCATAAATAAAGATTAAAAATAACAATCTTTAATATTGCTGTGCAGATAAGTAATAAATTAAATACACAGGGGGGCAAAACTAATGGTAGCAAGTGGGAAGACCAAGAAACTAGTTTGGAACCACCCTCATTTTAGCTGTTTGTTCTTCAATGGTTGATCATTCAAAGGAAGTTATGAGGGATGATTTCTTAGCAGTGGAGAGCTTCCCATGTACCATATTTTTCCGACTATAAGACGATACTTTTTTCTAAAATCCTTACACCAAAAATGGAAGGGCATCTTATTCAAGGAAGTCAGCCAAGGAGAGAACCGCGCGGTGGCAAAACTGCCCATACTTTGTTTCTGCAAAGAGGCTTCCTCCTATTGCTAGCCTCCAATCA